AACAAGTAAACCATTTTTGTTGTGGAAATACGAGAAAATAAAATTTTTTGGTCAGTAAGGCAGCACAAAAAAGTTATGATAAGTTATTTACCAAAATAGTGCTGTAAGTGGCGCCCTCTAGAAGTTTGGTCATAAAAAATAACGGATTCTCGTTCCTCATACTGGAAAACCTTATTATGCCAAAATCTGAAATACTTCTCAAGCAATAAGGAAAAATAGAAAATAAAATTGTAACTTTGTCATCCTGTATCTCGCAAACTATCAACTTTTGGACTAAGGTATGTTTAGGTCAATTCACATATTTTGGTCTGTAGTATCTCCAGCTTTGAGATTTCTCAATATCAAAAATGGAACGAAATGCAATGTGTAATACGAACCAGCGACATATTTTATGTCCTGGTGAAAGGAACATCATAAAGAATGTTTACAATGCACTTTGTTCGCGATTTCCTGATAAAAAAATGGATGAAGTATGAGAGATTTTAACGATATGACCAAGATATCAGTCAGGGCCATTCGCAGAATCCTGAAACCAGAAAAAGAGGATGTACATATATCCAATAACAACGGAAACGAAAAAACGAGGACGTAAAAAACTTGTCCTAGATGATGTAATTCGTCGAAAAGTGCATTGTTTTTATTTATGAAATGAAATACCCACACTAAAAAAGCTCCAACGTGACTTGGACGGTGACGAAAGCCTTCCAAATATACCTCGTCACATTCTATTGAGAAGCTTGTGCGAAATTGATATCAAATATTCAAAACGAAAAAGGGACATTAATCGAAAAAGATGACATCTTTATGTGGCGTAGGGAATACTTGAAGACCATACGAAGTATTCGCGTAATGGGCGACAGCAAATCTACTACTTGGATGACACGTGGATGAATGAAGGCCATACTGCTTTTAAGTTTTGGCAAGATTTGAATATGATAAATCATAGACAAGTCCATCGTAATGGAGTACCGGAATGAAACGTTTCTCTGGTCGCCGATTAATAATAACACATACAGTTAGTGCATCTGACGATCTGACTTTGTGAATGGAGGGTTGAGTATATTTCCAATCCAGAAAAACTGGTGATTACCACGAGGACATGAATGCCAAAGTTTTTGAATCTTGATTCAAATCCATATCATCCAAGCTCCAACCCGATTCGGTGACTATCATGGACAATGCGTCGTACCACACTCGACGTACAGAAAGCCTCCCCACCTCAAATTAGCTAAAAGCTGACATTTATAATTGGATTGTGTCTAAAAACATAACGTGCAATGATACGATGCTGAAGGCATAATTGTTGCAAATCGCGCAAACCCCGATTCATCAAACAAGCTGTTAATTAAATCGCTAGGGAGATGTGATTTATGGTATTGAGACTTACACCGTATCATTGCGAGTTGAATCCAATAGGGCTAATATGGACTCAGATCAAAAACGAGGTAGCTCTTAAAAATCAGACATTCCAAATGTCTGACGTTCGTATCCTCTTGGAAGATGCAATCGGTGCTGTGACAGCTGATGCGTAGCAGAAATGTATCTCTCATTGGTCTAATCATATTAGACGAAAATACCCCTGGTTTGCGAAATAATTGTATAGTATGGTTTTATTGCTGCAAGTTGTTCAAGAGGGTATTCAAAATGGACGCATAAAATGGGTACACCAAACTTCATGGGAAAAAACAGTGAGAAAATGTGTTTTTAGGATTCAATCGAAAGTGCTGGAAGAAACGAAAAAACTCTTCATATATAATTTTAAGGTATTTTTGAGACATACAAAATGAGCCCACACGTAAACAGATCCGATGAATAGCAAAAAAGTTATGGCCGAAAAGCTATGCAAACTGAAGGTTTTTTCACTTGTTGGTAATGCGCAGATATTTGAAATTCTTAAAATTCGTAGGATTCGTGCTTCTAAATAACTACAACAAAGTTGTATTAGATTGGTCAAGTAGTTTTTGAGATTTTCTAATTGTTTGTCCCAAAACACCTGTCTTCCGGCCATCACTATGTAATGTACTAGTTTATTGAGAAATATACAGGGTTAGTTCAAAAAACATTTTATAGCAAAATACTATAGTTTACCTTGACGATATGAATCGCAAACCATTCCGGAAGATAAATGTTATTTTTATGCAAAAAAGATGGGTTACGTTTTTTCTTCTAAACAAATTCAAACGTTTTGTATTTGTGAGTAATTCGCAACAAAAGATGATAGACACATCCGCATTGTTTTAAAATGTGTATAGTAACCTATGTTTTTCGAATATTGTAGCGCATTTGTTCAATTACTCACAAATACGAAATGTTTGAATTTGTTTAGAAGAAAAAAAACATAACCCTTGTTTTTCGCATAAAAATAACATTTATGTTTCGGAATCGTTTGTGATTCATATCGGCAAGGTAAATCCATGTATTTTGCTATTAACATATGCTCTTTGAACGAAACCTGCATATTGCACAATAAACCAGTAGTGATGGCCCGAAAACAGGTGTTTTGAGATAAACAATTAGAGATTCTTAAAAAACTACTTGATCAATATGATCCAATTTTGTTGTTGTTATTTAGAAGTTTGACTTCTATGGATTGGAAAAATTTCAAGTAGATGCGTGAAATTATCGTCGCATTAGCAACAAGTGCCAAAACCTGCATTTTGTCTCGTTCTTCGGTCATAACATTTTTGCTATTAGTCAGATCTTCTTACTTGTGGTCTCCTTTTGTAGGTCTCATAAATACCTAAATATCTTGTATAAAAAGTTTTTTCGTTCCTGTTAACACTTTCGATTGAAAACCAAACAACGCCTTTTCTCATTCTTTGTTGTCAAATCAAAAGTTTTCTCACAAGAATTGGTGTACCCATTTTATGCGTCCATGTTTTGAATACCCCCTTGAACAACTCGCACCAATAAAACCAGACTTTAACTATTTCGCGGAAAGTTGCTAATATGATTAGACTACATGTAATTAAAGAAGAACAGAAGTTTTGGGAACTGGATCACTACATAGAAAAAGCAATAGAACCAGTAATCATCAACTTCGGTAGCAACGACGACTGTGACAGTAGCGATTCCGACAATTCGAGCTCAAGAAGTGACTATACTTCCGCATGAGATTCTTAACCTTTTTTTGTTTCAAGAATATTTATTCATTTTCTGAATTCAATTCAGTGATGTCATAGTTTATTTAATGATGTTGTGAATTTGATTTTTGGGTTATCAGAGTTTATGTTTTCAGTTTCCTAACTTTATTTATTAATTTTTTTGAGTTTCTAGATACTACTGATGAGATTTTAAGTTCATATTTATGAGGTTTTTCTGTCCAAATAGTGGAAGTGACTAGATATAAATTGGTAGTAATTTTCCCATGACATTTTCCGTTGTGTTAATCAACAATAAATTATATATAACATTTAGTAAGAAATTTTAATTCTCCCATTATTCATACCTTCAATGACGTATAATTGTGTGATTATGACATAGAGAATATCGAAAATGTCCAAGAAGCATGGCAAATCAATGAGTAAACTGGGAAAACCACTAATCGTTTGACAATGGCATTCCGCCGATTCGAATTCAGGTACTAACGGTTACATCAGAGCATGCGAGAACTGTCTTTACTGTAAATCTTAAGACATAAAATTTCTTGCCGCATATCTACTTACAACAGAAAAGTCAAACCCCTTCTAAAATGTTAACTGTCGCGCCACTGCCGGTCTCCCGTCCATACCGACAAAGGGTGGTAGACGCTATTTTCTTTCAAGTTCGCCACCGCCTTCAATTTTGATATAGTTTTAATGTTTAATATAAATATGTAGGGCTATGGGCGCCTGAAGAAGTTTTCCTCCGCTGGGGCTGATCAGTGGGAAGAGATAACTTTTTATAAAAGTGTACCTGCTTCCAAAACTATCTGAAGAGCGGGAGCTAGTAACTTTTCCAAGGGGGAGGGTTGGGAAAATTTTCGAAATTGTACACAAAATCATAGTAAATATGCAAATCTTAAAGTCCAACCGGATTCCCACGTGTACAACATCCTCAATCACATTGCGTAGATTTTTATGAAATAATACTGCTTGTAAAGATGGGCTTGCATCGCACAAGAACGAATAATTCTATCAACAATTAGACAATATTGAGCTTCTTCAAGATATAGGCCTAGTTAGGGCTTGAACATCTTTATATAGAAATAATACAGTACACATAAAAAATACAATTTATAATACATGAACATCGTAGGATCTGTATAACATTTCCATTACTTTCCGAAAGGGAACTCTGGATGGTCCAATAGTCTGAAAAAAAAAATAGAAATAATAGACTAGCAAAAAAGTTCAACTGGTCTGAATATTATATGCTCGTTTACAATCCACGCAATATGGTGGAAATCAAATTATGCTCGGGGGTAAAACTGTAGTAGAAAAACGGTGAAAGCGTATGAAAGGAGGTATTGACCGAGAATGAAGGTCATACCAGGACTAAAATAACTTGATAAAAAGAAAAAATACGTCAAGTAAGTTGACTCAGTACTTCTCACGCGACGCTGTCATCATTTCGTAAATGTATAGTTCTGTATAACAAAAATATAAATGACTTTCATCCTCTCCCTGAGAGGAATTGCCGCAGACGCACATGATCCTTGGGATGACCAATGCCGCGTGAACGACGATATTGGCCTTCACCATACACAGTGCACGCAGCCCACAACAGTGAGAAAGCGACTGCCGACTGTGACGTATGACCACCGATGACGACACTCGTCCATCGGGAAACGACGACGCACGTATCGAATCGACTGCCGAAGATATTTCTAAGTTTTAAGTGCAAACTTACAGGGACATCTATAATGAGTGAAATATGCCTAATATACGAGTAGAATTACTGGGGTTGGAGGCACGTCAAAAAATTGAAATATGCCTTCTCTTATCACCTGCATCCTCCAACCCCAATTTTTAAACCCTACAATTTCTTTTTTTCCGAAAATGATCAAGATTGTCTGAAATATCAAAAAAACGAATTTTGAGCTTTTTTTTGTTTTTGGCCTTTTTCTCCGCCGCCACTGAACCGAATTTAAAAAACTATAGTGTTTGCGTCCTTTGAATAGTAGTAACATTGTGTGAATATCCTGTAACGCCCTGTATAAATTTAGATCTTATCCGAAAGAACTCATAGTTGAAAATATCGCAGCTACTTACGGAGGGAAGAATTTGAAGTCGCAAACTCTCGCCGATTCACCAATTTCTAAATCTGCAAGCTTTTTCATATCCTCATTGTCGAGTTTGAAATCGAAGACCTCGAAGTTTTCCCTGATTCTCGAAGGCTTAACACTTTTAGGTATCGGGACAATGTTTCTTTCAATAAGAAACCTTAACATGACTTGACCAGGAGACTTTTTGTATTTTTCTGCTATTTGTTTGATGACTGGATTTTGGAGCATGTTCGGTAGTTCCTTGCCTCTGCAATTTCAAATCAAAATTCAGCAAATGTTTTCTACTGACTACAATTCGTGGTTGTGTGTTGATAATCAGTCGTACGAATTTTCTAATAATCACACAAGCCAGCCAGAAAGGCCAAAAATCAAATTTTTCTGTTTTCTCGAGTACTGAAATAGTTTCCAAAATGTACAAGAAGTACATAAGACCTATACCTACACAGGCTGCAACACTTGTATAGTAAGTGAATGCAGGGAGCAGGGTGGACACAAGAGTAGGTACTCCTCTGACGATGGGACGCCTATGTGGTGATTGACCTTGTTCGGCTTCTTTTAACCGGACACTGTCAATTTCAGTGTCACATTTATTTTTCGCATAATACCTATTCTGCCGTACTTAGGTAAAATGCAGTAAAGTCTATTTACTGTCTTTTTTAAATTTTGACGCCAATACATTTTTTTAGTATTACAATTACTAAGTATATCTTTAATCAAGAAATTTAACAAAAATAGTTATAATTTCACTTTGTCAAATATCTCATATTGATTGCATTTCCAAAGCATAAAAGTAGTAAATCAGTTTATCAAATTAAAAAAGCAGTTTTCAAACTATACTAATTTTATTCTCTGTATGATACAAGTGCTGCCTTTATACCCTTCTTAATCTATTATGATGATTACTGATTTTTTATGTAATAATTTTATTATTTGTGTATTTATCGTTATAAATAATTACTTTTGCTCCACAAGAACAATTTTGAAAAAAAAAAGTTTAACTTAACATGATGTTCTCAATTTATATAAATAATCAGTTTTAAGGATTAAATGTAAGTAAATAATTAATAAATTGAATTATTAGATTTTGAAAATAATTACTTTTGTACTATTTGTGTATTTCAATATGAATAAATTATATTTTAAAAAAATATATAATTCGGTATTTCTGCGTTTTTTTCTTTGAAAGCGTAATAGAATATTATTATTATGAAAAAAGACAGTAAATTTGTTTTTGCGGAGTATATAAACAGTAAATTACATGTTACTGCTTTTGATTTACGACAATTAAATATGGAATGTCGTTTATATTAGACCTCGATAACAGCTAATAATAATAATAAATGGCTTTATATTATTTATCTTATTAATTATTCACCTAGACCTTACCGTTATACCTTACAAGCACAAAACTTGATCCATAAAGAGTTACATTAAACCAGAAATAAAAACCTGAAGTATACACAAAAAAGGGGTTAAATTTATGATTGGAAATCACATTTAAATGAGTTTCTATAAAATCATGTAACTTTGCAATATTTATTCACTTTAGTTCTGTCTTAATAATACTATTGAATTAGTTTGAAAGAATCCAGAATTTTGAACTCAATTTTCTCATGCTTCGGTTTTTACACGTTACTGCCGTTTAGGGTGTGCAGGAGACAAAGAAGTACTTGAGTGGGTTCAGAGAACTAAACTAAATCAGCATTGAAGTAAGACATTTTCCACATGAAACAAGACTTGAAAAGCTACCATCCTAGCACAAAGAGCACTACGGGCGACCTTATAGAAACACTTAAGATAATAAACAGACATTACAAGTTTATAAATTTAGACATCTTCGATCTATCAATCAATCAACAACTTCGGAGACATCAATATAAATTATGCAAGGATACGATGGATGTCCTTTAAGTTTTGCATATAGAAACATAGTAGGCCACGCGGATCAAACGTCAGTACTGAATCTTAACCTCACTCTTTAGTAAACTAAAGTTCAAAGTTTCACAACAAAACGTGCAGTGTTGTCACTACAGTGAATTTTTAAGTGTCACCAAGTCATTATAAAAATGGAACTCAACCGAGAACATTTTCGCGCTATAATTTATTACAACTTTCAAAGACAATTATCGCAACAAGAATGCCTTGCTGAGTTACTGTCTGTTTTCGGCAAAAAAGCGCCACATCAGTCGACAATTTCCCGTTGGTATGGAGAATTCAAACTTGGACGGGTGAGTCTTAGCGACGATCCCAGGGTGGGTGCACCAAAAACGGCAGTCACCCAGGAAAACGTCGATGCTGTGCGCAAACTCATCATTCAAGATAGACATGTGACATATCGCGAGATTGAGGCGTCCTTGAATATCCCAAAGACCTCAATTCCAAAAAATTTACGTGAAGAATTAGGAGTAAGAAGATTAATTTCTCGTTGGACTAAGAGCAGAAAGCAGCCAGGGTTAATTAGTGTCAAAAACGCTTGACCGTTTCAATTCCGGAAACTGTTATGAACCAGAAAATAAACGACCGTCGGCTGTTTGGGTATTCCAAGGTGAAGAAAAGCCAACAAAAGTCATCCGTTCTCGAAGTGTTTCAAAAAAGATGGTCACGACATTTGTGTCAAAAGCGGGTCATATTGCAACAATTCCTCTTAATGAGCAAAAAACTGTTACTGCGGATTGGTATACCACCATTTGTTTGCCAAAAGTCATCACCGGGCTTCGAAAAATCAACCCCGAATGCTCTTCGTCTCTGTAACCACGACCAACCGCAGACAGCGCTGTTTCTTGCTCAGTAACAACTCATCAATACGATATAGGTCTCGTAGTCCCGAACACAGCTAGAGCGTCAAGAAGTTATGAGCCGGTAACTTAGGACCTTTCCGTCATCTTTTATCATACGGGTTGATGATGATCAACTTGAGAAACTATTGATAGATGGAGATCGTCAGATTTTTTTTGTTCATTTATCTCAGCAAGGCGGTTCATATGGTAGCGCCCTCGTAAACTAGAACTTTAGCGTACCAATAAGGCGCCCTCGATATATCGATGCTTAGGCAACCAGGATTACGCGTCCGTATGGAGTCGAGAAGTTGACAGCGCAGAACGTATGGTTATATATATTTTTGTCATAAATTAGTTGCAAGCCTTACTATAAATTAGTATAAGAGTAATAAATTAGAATTTAAAAAGTAAATATGGTGTTTTCGCTACAATTTACTAAAGTTTAGTTTCTAAAATTGCATGAATGCTGCCTGTAACATTTTATCAGACTTCCATACCGGTTTGAATAGAAAAAAAGGACTTAAAATTATCAGTGTCTCTACGAGTGATAAAAAACCCTCACGTAACCTAAAGAATGACCCCTCGACGTTCAACTAAGCGCTATTAACCTCCTGTTGATCTTAATTTAGATAGTATCTAGTATCATGGCGCCCTAACATATCTTCCAATGAGCTGTGTCTCCCGATATAGTGTCTCGTCCAAAATAAGTCTATTTAAACATTGTCGTAACTTTCAAACGATACTTACTCTTGTCCAATGGTGTTAAGGAAATTATTATATCCCGGTGATCCTAGAGGAGAATATGCCACAACGACGATACCGTTTTTGTGACAAAAATCTACCAATTCTCTTTGCTGCATGGCAACGTGGATTTCTATTTGCAAACAAGCTGGTTTTATCCTGCACGATTTCAGTATCCTTTCTATTTGTTTTTTGTTGAAGTTGGACAGTCCAATGGCTTTGGTTCTACCGGCATCTACTTGCTCTTCCATTTTCTAGAATAGAATAGGAGGATCAGACATTTACGAAGATAAGGTCGAGCAATGAAAGTTCCAGTTAAAAAATGATTTTATTTTTATACATAATCCCTTACAATTTCAGCACATTTGGCCCAATTAGGATTTCTTCTTGGTAGGTGGATCTCTGATATCTTCATCTCCGACACTCCCAACTTCTCTATTGATCCCGAAGCGCTTTCCAGGATTATTTTTTTTCAAATTTCGAAACTGACGGAAATTTTAAAGTACTAAGGTCATGCAAATCTCTCAGTTTTCCCATTGCTAGCACACCTTTGTGAGCAGATACGATGTCTGACGAAAAATGATATTTTGGTGCATTAAGCCAGGCCTCTAGAGATTTCGGCTCCCCGGGCAAAATTGTAATTTAGCTCCCCCATCAAGAATTTCAATAGGGTTAGGACTGTTGTGAATAAAGAAGAACTGTTGGAAGGAAATACAAATAACATATTAAACTCTATCTCCATGGAAACTGCACCACACGTTAAGCATCTCTTACAAAAAGCTTATGCTAAAGCAAGAACTTGTTATCTTCACAAGAATACTCTTTCTAAGTCAGGCTGAATCTATAAGATTCGTTGATGTTGCCTTCTTTGTCATATGCTAGAGACAAACTTTCTTTCCAAAAAGATCAGAGCTCATGTATTAAATTTTCGTAGGGTTTGAAACATTATGACCACTTCAGCGGCGAATTACTGACTGGTTCAATATGAATGAACGGTTTTTGATACATCTTGCTTACTTAACTCACAATATTAACAAAACCAAGCTACGAGTGATGTCTTTTAAGTTTTGCATATAGAAACATAGTAGGCCGCGCGGATCGAACGTTAGTACTGAACCTTAACCTCACTTTTTAGTAAACTTAAATTCAAAGTTTCACAACAATACGTGCAGTGTCCTCACTACAGTGAATTTTTGGACCATCCTCCATATAGTCCCGATCTAAGTCCTAACGATTTCTTTGCTTCCCCGAAAATTAAAAACAGACTGCGTGGTCAAAGGGTCCAGTCACCAGATGAAGCAGTTGACGCATTCAAAAATGCCGTTTTGGCTCTGCCAGCAAACGAGTGGAATACGTGCTTCGAAAATTGGTTCGAGCGCATGCAGATGTGTATTAATCTTCGTGTAGAATACTTCGAAAAACAATAAAATCATTTAAAACTACCTACCGTGTTGTTTTATTTCCATATGCAAAACCTAAAAGACATCCCTCGTACCCCTTTTCCTCTATACCAAACATATTAGGGATCCCATCGTCATGATAGACAAACTCGTACTTGTAATCTACATACAGGGTGTCCCAGAAGTCGACGTCAAGCCGAAACCGGGTGATAGGCAAAGTCATAACAGCTATCAGAAAAATATTTAAAAAAATTGTATGTATGTGTTTTGAAAATTATAGGTCTTTGAAAAAGATATAGAAATTTCACACCCTACGGCAGTCTGTCAACTCCTGTTACTACAAATATGAACTTTTTTTGGATTTTATTTTTACAATGTAATGATGAATAATGCATCTTCAAACTGGTGTCTCAACCTTACAGCCAACTTTTCTCGTTCAGGAAAAATTGCCACTTATTTCCCAACCAAGTATTCCAAAGTAAAACTTTGCTCAACTTTAACTGGCTGTACTGGAAAAAAATGTACTACGAGAGTTTGGCAAGTAACCTTAAAAGTTGGCGCATTTAATAACGATTCCAAAATGGTATAACACTTAGAAGATTACTCGTTAACTTATGCACAATTTTTATTTGAAAAAAAACTGATGAAAATTTTTCAAAATTTCCTAATTAAACAGCGATTATAAAAACGCACAAGGACCCTTAAGGATAACTGTTTGCACAACAGTGGGCGTCAAAATGCTGCTGATGATGATTTACCTTTACAGCAAATGCTCAAACTGTTTTCCTTCAGCCGCAATACACGCTCGACATCTTAAAAAAGATCGGGTTATTAAACGAGCGAATCCACGGTTATTAACAAACTCAGCTGCTTCCAATAGTCTTTGCCGTAGCACAGCTACATTTTGAATCGGCTTGAAATACACTTTTTCTTTTACAGTTCCCCAGTAAAAAAATCTAAAGGATTCAAATCAGGTGATCGGGCTGGCCACGGTATTGTACCAGACCGCCTTATCCATCTGCCTGGAAAGTTTTGATCGAGATACTCTCTCACTGAGAGTGCATAGTGCGCTGGGCAGCCACCATGCTGAAACCACATGTCCCTGTAAAAATACTCAATGGTACGTCCACCAATAAATTTTGTACATGATTTTTCAAAAAATCCAAATAAACTTCAGCAGTCAAAGTCTCTGGGAACTCGAACGGACCGATTTTATTTTACCATTTAAAATTCCTGTCCAATGGTTTATCTTGAAGCGATATTGAGATTTATCTTCTCTCATCAAATGTGGGTTTGCTACGTGCCACTCGTGTAAATTATGCAGGTTCATGTACCCATCTTTCTTAAATGTGGTCTCATCCGACCATACAATTTTTTCAAAGCACTGTGGATCTTTCCTGTGTCTTTCTAACATTGTGCGACAAAAAGCAACTCCTCGAGGCTCATAATCCCGGGGCAGGAGAGGTTGAACACGCTGTATGTGGTATGGATGAAGCACATCACTTACTTGCTATTGCACACTTTGATATCGATCAGTACTCCTTCGTTTACTGCGCATCTTTACATGTCCGTGCTTGTTGATTTCGTACTGTTACTAATTTTGGATTCGTGAACTGGACTGTTGATCGCTTGTGATTTGGATTTGGACTGTTTAATTGCTCTTCAAAACAACATTTGCTTTCCTTAGACTATCTTTGATAGTGTGATTGTGCAGTGCCGCTATGTCCGTGTATACCGTAAAAGAATATGCTAACATGCACCTCATTTATGGGGAATGCAGATGCAACGCTAGTGCTACAGCGAGACTTTACTGTGAGAGGTACCTGAATGCAGCTCGTCATCCAGATCATCGAGTGTTCACAAATGTGCACCGCTTACTGTTCTCAGAGGGCCAACTACCAAACCAACCACACGGTGAGGGAAGATCTTTCCTTCCTTACGAAGACGTGGTGCTAGGAGCTGTCGAAGAAGACCCGAGTACTTCAGTGCGTGCAATAGAACTGAAAACAGGTGTGCCCAAAAGTACAGCCCATAGAATCTTGGAAGATAAATCTCAATATCGCTTCAAGATAAACCATTGAACAGGAATTTTAAATGGTAAAATAATCGGTCCGTTTGAGTTCCCAGAGACTGACTGCTGAGGTTTATTTAGGTTTTTTGCAAAATCATTTAGAAAATTTATTGGAGGACGAGCCACTGAGTATTTACAGGGACATGTGGTTTCAGCATGATGGCTGCCCAGCGCACTATGCACTCTCAGTGAGAGACTATCTCGATCAAACCTTTCCAGGCAGATGGATAGGGCGGTCTGGTACAATACCGTGGCCAGCCCGGTCACCAGATTTGAATCCGTTAGATTTTTTTTACTGGGGAACTGTAAAAGAAAAAGTGTATTTCAAGCCGATTCAAAATGTAGCTGAGCTACGGCAAAGACTATTGGAAGCAGCTGAGTTTGTTAATAACCGTGGATTCGCTCGTTTAATAACCCGATCGTTTTTAAGATGTCGAGCGTGTATTGCGGCTGAAGGAAAACAGTTTGAGCATTTGCTGGAAAGGTAAATCATCATCAGCAGCATTTTGACGCCCACTGTTGTGCAAACAGTTATCCTTAAGGGTCCTTGTGCGTTTTCATAATCGCTGTTTAATTAGGAAATTTTGAAAAATTTTCATCAGTTTTTCTTCAAATAAAAATTATGCATAAGTTAACGAGTAATCTTCTAAGTGTTCTACCATTTTGGAATCCTTATTAAATGCGCCAACTTTTAAGGTTACTTGCCAAACTCTCGTAGTACATTTTTTTCCAGTACAGCCAGTTAAAGTTGAGCAAAGTTTTACTTTGGAATACTTGGTTGGGAAATAAGTGGCAATTTTTCCTGAACGAGAAAAGTTGGCAGTAAGGTTGAGACACCAGTTTGAAGATGCATTATTCATCATTACATTGTAAAAATAAAATCCAAAAAAAGTTAATATTTGTAGTAACAGGAGTTGACAGACTGCCATAGGGTGTGAAATTTCTATATTTTTTTCAAAGACCTATAATTTTCAAAACGCATACATAACATTTTTTTAAATATTTTTCTGATCGCTGTTATGACTTTGCCTATCACCCGGTTTCGGCTTGACGTCGACTTCTGGGACACCCTGTATATGATGTTCCGTTCCATAGTACTGAACAGTTTAAAACTTATGTTGCATTTACACTATTCATTGCCAGGTATAGTTGAAAAATTCGCCCTTATTTAGTAGCTTTCGAGATAGAGTCAAATCCCATGTGAAAGGACTACAATAGTTTTAGTTTTGCTGTTTGTATCAATTACAACTATTATTAATCTGTAATTGTTAGGTTATCCTTTTAGAATAGTGTTATGTACGGGGGTGGCATGGAAGAGCAACGGTGTTGAATACCGCCTCACTTAACAAATGAAAACACATTATTATTATTATTATTATTTTTATTATCATTACAGAAAAATATGATTCAGCAGTTTTGAAATTCATAAATGAAAATAAAATTAATCAAAAATCCATGCGAAAAACAAAATTTATCAAAAACTGAAACGGTTCAGCAGCTTAATTATCAAAGAACGATTTTTGTCTCTAATACGTATAATGAACAGATCTCTATGAAGGCTATACAAGAAAGGAACAATAACCTAAGTATTATTATTAAGAAACTGAGAAAACCAAAATCATCTTTTTTACTTTCCATTCCAGCAAATTCGCGTATAACTGACTTCAAGACAAATTTGTTGCTTATTTCATGCCCAATTTTTGGCGCTTTCCATAGTAGCCCAATGTCATAACAAGAAACAGAAAACATAAAAATAGACCGAAACGTCACAACTAAAATCCTG